AGCCCAACACAGGAGCAACATTTACTCAACAAAAAGACCATCATAAAGTATTGTAGCAGCAGAAACTACCTAACCTATAATATTTATGCATCACATAATATATTACAAGTCATGTGGGAAACAAAAAGACCATCATACAGTAGATGTCACATTTAAATATGACCTTCCAATAGCAAAGAAACCCACTCCATCTTGTCATTCTCATCTAAACTGAAAAACAAGTCAACTTTGTCTTCATCCTTCACTATCATAGATGCTGCCATCAATCTTTGAGTATTACTCATTGGCAACTTCAGAAGTTCTGCATTAACCAACCTCCTCTGTTGGGATAGGTCATGTGAATATCCTATCCTATGAGCAACCTCCACCATCGTAGTATTAGTATTCTCAATGAATGATCCAAGATTTTTTGCCATCTCTGATAGTTCAGTGGGTATCCCCTCAGTAGGTCGAGCCCGCTTTTTCCCAGTTTTAGCTGAGTCAGCACGGTTGGGAACATTACCTGCAGTAGACATTGAGTAATCGGTATCACCCATGTTCATACTAAACTGTTCAACAGGAGACTGTTCTCCTTCTTCTGTAGTTGCATTGGCATCCTCTTTTTCCATGGCTGCAACTGCATCAGCAGGATCCTCAGCCAGTTCACCAGTCGCCCTATCCTTCCCAAATAGAATAAGCCAATCTTCATAGAATGGGAATGGCCTATTTCGCATCCCTTTTGCATCTGGCACCCTCTACACAAGTGATTATGTTATTATTAAAAAAGAACAAATTGATTTATAAGTACATACACATACAAATAAACAACATAAAAATGAGATTTACCCGGACATAGTTCTGCCATACGTCGTCACTATCAACAAGCACCATCTTTTGTTCATCATTCCAACCAAAACCACTCATGTTTAACATATCTTGCAAAGCATTATATTGTTTCCTCCAAAATTTAATCTTCGAGTCGATGTGGGGACTGGCTCGAAGATCAGTTCCAGGAAAGGCACTTAAGATCTTCTTCTCACATTCATTGTAGAAGCCTGCCCTAAACTGATTATTATCAAGCTTCCACCTGGGATTACTTGCTATTACATCCTTCATGGTTGTAATGAGGAATACTTCCTCACGGTGATTCCAAAACCTTCGAGGTTTCGCCTTCTTACGAGAACTAGTGGTACCTGTGTCATCCATACCTATATATATGTATATCATAAGTTTAAATCATAACACATATGTCAATCATAAATAACAAATCAACTTACACAACATTTGTTACAAATACCACACAAAAACTAAACAAATAAGGTTCGAATTACATGGCATAATAAACTCTCACTATTACATAAAAAAACATCATACAATACTAATTTATTGACCTCTGCTTGCTTGCCATTCATTAAACATTTGGGTTGCCAAGGCAGTTCTCCATTCACTCCATTGATCAGATGCTTTAACTACATCAATCATTTCATCTCCTAATTCAGTAGCTAGAGGAGGAGGATTCATTTCCTCGTTCTCATCATCATCAAGATCCATAGGCATTTCACGTTGTATGAGATTGTGGAGAAGGCAACATGCAGTGATAATACGAAATTGAGTCTTGATTGGAAAGTAAGAATAAGTCCTCAATATTGCCCACCTCATTTTAAGTAGTCCAAAACACCTCTCAATGACGTTACGAGCAGAAGAGTGCCTCATGTTAAAAAACTCTTGTGGAGTTGTTGGGGCACCCCCTTCTCTCCATGTAGAAAGATGGTAACATTGTCCTCTATATGGTGCAAGAAAACCCTCCCCATTTGTGTAACCCGCATCTACGAGATAGTAGTGGCCTGTAATTATGTAAGATGGTTTCACTATGTATATAACAAAAGAATTGCTTAATATAGATATAGTGTACCCATAATTAGAACAATATATAATTATCATACCAGTAGGGACTTTTAACCCATTGGGTCTACTGACAGCATCTCTAAGTACCCTAGAGTCAGAAGCAGATCCTTCCCATCCAGGCAAGACATATATGAATTGCATGTCTTGGGAGCACACACCCAATACATTTGTGGCAATTTCTCCCTTTCTTGTTCTATACCTTGGTTTGTCTATTACAGGGGCAAGAACCTTAACATAGGTTCCATCTAAAGCACCAAGACAATTCTAAAAAAAAAAAAAATTATAAAATTAATATAGGTAATACAAAAATATAATATGCTAATTAAGCGAAATTGTAAAAATATTGTACCTGAAAACAACTCCACCTATCATCTGTACAATTAGCAGTTATCGGTTCAGGCTTCTTAAGGAGGAGACCATGGAAGCGCAACACAGCCTTCAGAACATTATTGAAGTGCTTACTAACTGTTTGACCACTCCGCATGAAATTAAATTTAATTTTGCGGGTCTTAGTGTGATGTGCAATCACATTCAAAAACATTGCTACTTGCTCCTCTAAAACGACATACTTTGAATCAGATAATCCAACACTTCGCACCAACCCACATAAAAGCATGAAAGTACGCCTAATATCCGAAATTGGTCATGACAATTTATGTCACTATCATTGACCAATCTATTCAAATGGTCAATTTGTTTTCCATAGGGGTGAGGTGATCTAGGTAGTTGCAACCTAATTTCTTTCTTCTTGAATGCAGCATGTAAAATCACTATATATATAGCACATGCATAATTAATGGATGAAACAATATGTTGGAGGGCTACAAATTCCTCTATAAGGTCCTTTCTCCTTTTCTTAGTGGCATAATTATTATCCATCTACAAAAAATGAATAAGCAATAAGCAGCTAAAGTTAGCGCAAAAAGTATAACAAATAATAGATAATAGAAAGTGTTTAATATGATAAAACAGATTGTAACGGCCAAAAAGCCATAGTAGAGTGAGTTTGATAAGAAACTTAAAATATTTGTATATAATGTATGGAAATATGTGTAACATTCAATGTACAATCAATTTAAATATTATTAACCAATGTCCTTAAGACACTCGTTAATCAAACCTATAAAAAATATAGATATGATTTAGATAAACAGTTTTATAAATTTTGTCTATTCATGATTTTATGTTTAATTTTTTTACTTCTAACATTATTGTTAAGCAAAGAGATGTTGAAAGGGTAAAAAAAGGAATTGATGAGGGGGACCAAGTAATGAGTGATAATGAAAAAGTGAATAAAAAATAAAAAAGCAAATGTTGTAATAAGTCACTGCACATAGACTTTTAAAGATGACAACTTATGCACTTATTTGTAAGAAAATGGCAGCAAAGAAAGGCTTCAACCTGTCATACATTTTACGTAAAGGCTGATAGGATATTTGGTTTGTCATTGCTCACTGCCTCTTTGGAGTATTCAAAATGCTGTCGACATGTTTTCAAATTTATAGGTGTATTGTGTTCCCTTTTCTTTAAAAAAATTCTGCTTTATCTAGACATCCATATTATGTTCATACTATGGAGGAAGCAATGGCAACTGCTAGGTGGAAGAAATGGAGGGATGTGGATTTGTTGAAGAAGCAGATGGAGACTTATTGTGAAAATGGTTTGGAGCCTTGGACACCAGATAAGCTCCCCTATCCCTCAGGTATTTACACTATGTTGCTTTGAACTACAAAAAAATTAATGAACATAAGGACCAGTAAACTTAACTAGAAATTTACTGATAAAAATGATATAGTTTAGAATCAACTCTTATGTAGTGGAATTTGCATTTAGAATGAATTTGGACCAATTATTACTTTTTTTAAGTACTTTTTTAGGTAAAATTTTTTGGGTTCTTAGCATTGTTGCTCAAAAATATGTCATTCCATTACATCATTCACATCCCTCCATTTCTTCCACCTAGCAGTTGCCATTTCAAATTATCAAAATTTCCTTTTGCAATGATTGATTGCAGGAAAGTGAAATTTTCTTGGAAGAGAGTTTTATATCAGATCCTTCTGCCATATTTATCAAGACGTTTCTAAACAAACACAACTCTCATACTCTCTCACCTGTGCATCTAATTTGGCCCTCTTTGCCCTTGCTTTTACAAAATTGTTCGTAAAACTCAAAACCCAATCTGACATATACCCAAGCATGCAAGTATCTATTATACAGAGCATAGAAAAGCCACAGATGAATGCAAGTTTAGATCCAAGCAACGATGAACTAAATCGAACTAAATAAAAGAAATAAATTAATTAATTAATTAAACTGAGAACAAGATTGAAACACCAAACACCAACAAGATTAATTAATTAAACTGAGAACAGAAAATCTAAAGATTAATTAAACACCAACAAGATTAATAAATTAATTAGCTTTTCTCACCTGCAACACCAACAAGATTGAAAATCTGAAGAAGAAGAAGAGCTTTTGGAGAGAGCTTGCTGTACGAGATTGGGAATCTGAAGAAGAAAAAGAGCTTCTGTTGCCTCTTCCTTTTGCTGCTGCTACTCTGATGAGTTAGTGCTAGGGCAACATGGGTAAAGAAGTAATCACACTCCTTAATACCAACGGACTAGCTTTGAATACCAACATTAGGGGCAGACTGTGAATCCCTTCTGCAAGGCCTTTATGAAGCCGTTCGGCTTATCAATCCGTCCCTCATCTCTATAAACAAACAGGGTATTAAGTGGGACCCACAGTTAACCTAATCCCAATCCCCCTCTAATCCCCCAAAACAAACGGGGCCATAAATTCTGAATGGCAACACGTGGCCGAGGTGGCACCGAAGTATTAGCCGAGGTGCCACGTGTCCTGAACATGAAGCCGAGGTAATTTCGGCTAGGTTTAGGTTATCTGCGAGAATACCGAAATCCAAGGTCCTTGGATAAGGGATAAGGGACTAAGAATTTGGGAGGATTTCAGTCTGGATAAAGATAAGACTCATAGAGAGTTTATCCCAATCTAACTAGGAGTCCAAGATTAACATTGAGACAGAATCCATTGGAGCTAGGCTTCTAATAGGATTAGGTTTGTGTTGGCTATAAAAGAGAGACACCCTCATAGGTCTAAGGTACGCTTTTTATGTTCTGAATAGTGAGTTAAGCACTTTTGCTATCTTTGAGAGATAACTGACTTGATCGTCGAAGTGCCCCTAGGTAGACGAACCACCGCCGGAATCTTTTCTTTCTGTGACAGGTTGTTCAAGCTTAATCTATTCTGTCGGTGCTCTCTAGCTGAATACTAGTTTAGCAGTGTGGTCAGAAATCGACTCACACAATTTGGCGCCGTCTGTGGGAAAGACAAGAGAATAAATGGCCAACGACGGACAGAAAGAGAAAGTTGGGAACGACATTCCTACTGGGAGTGGGAAACATATTGACCTTGACGTCAACAAAGACAACTATAGCGAAGAGACTCGTGATAAGAATCACGGAGAAAAAGACGTCGGCAAGGAAGGCGATGGAACAAAGAAATCGGACCGAGGCGGGTATTATAACGAAGACGACCTCCAAGTACAGAAAGATAGATGCCTACGAAGGGACGACGAGATGAAGGAACTGGCAAACAAATTGGCAGACCTACAATCGGTCGTCAATTTCATGATGCAGAATAACGTCATGCAACCACCATTTCCGTTACAAGATACACCGATTCCAGCAGCCAAAAAAGATGCCCAGACAAGGGGGCAGAGGATAATTCCTACAACTCCTCAGCACAATAGGACCAAGGAACACTCTCACCGACCTTCAAGGGAGGTCGGGCAAGGAGAATCAAGAAGGGGAGATTCACGGAGGACACATCGCACCAAGGAAGCTGACCCCAAAGAACATCGGCATTTTCAGGGAAAGGAGTTGTGTTTCGACACAACTAATAGAGAAAGGTCCAAGAGGACTCATAATGATACTGGGAGTAGCACACCAAAAAGACTGAAATCCATTGATAGCCGAGCTCCTGGACAGAACAAGGAGGATCTGAGGGATTACCTCCAGAGAAAGCAACAAGATGCCGAAGTAACCTCTCTGGTCAAGCCGAGAACACCATTCTCGGTGGAATTGGAAAAATTTGAGACCTCGAAAAGGTTCCATATGCCGAGGTTATAGATATACGACGACAAGTCGGACCCAAACTTTCACGTCGGCTTGTACCTGAACTCAATGGCATTATACACCGGGAACGAATCGTTGCTCTACAAGGTGTTCCCCTCATCCTTTGGAGAGATCGCATCAGACTGGTTTCACAAGTTGCCGAAAGAAACTGTGAAAAGTTAGGAAGGCCTGGGCGAGATGTTTGTTGCCAGGTTTGTGGCAAACAAATTACAGCCATTGAGGGTGGGCGCCTTGATGGCGCTGAGAATTGGAGAGGACGAAAGCCTTAGAGCCTATGCCAAAAGGTATTACGAGGTATTTAACTGAATACCAGGATGTACCTAGGAGGTGGCGGTCGTGTCCTTTAAGAACGACCTGAAAGATGATTGCCTGCTTCGAAAGTCAATAGCAAAGACATTGCCAAAAAGTATGGAGGAACTTATGGCCAGGATAAAAAAGTATGTCAGGGCCGAGGAGGACATGCCGTGGACAAAGACGTCAAAACAAGAGAAGAAGAACGGCTCGCCGAAACGAGGCCGAGGTGATGGTGGATACAATAAGCTCGAGACAAAACTGAGGGCTACACAAACAGTCACTACCATATTCCGGATTTCGATCTACAAAGTCCTAGAGAGAATCAGAAACCAACCATATTATAAGGCACCAGAGAAGGCCTCCTGGTGAGTTTATGGGACGAAGCCTGGGGAAGCACTGCGCCTACCAAAATGAGAATGGGCATCTGACTCAGGGGTGCAGAGCCCTCAAGACACATCTAGAAAACCTGGTAAGACAAGGTCATCTAAGGGACCTGGTAGATGAGACCAGGACATGAGAAGAACAAGCAAGACTGCCTCAAGCACCGGCAGCACCGCCACCCCCAACACCGCGACCGTAGGCAGGCGGACCTTGAGTGATCAATGTGATTCACTCGAAGGTCAATGAGAACGAAATCCGTGGGGAGACTCAGAAGGTAAAGCACTTACAACATGTATACCAGGTTCGTCAGAAAAGACCTAGGGCAGACAAGTGCCAAGGACTAGTGGTGTTCTTTACAGAAGATGATCTAGAGATGGTGTAGCATCCACACAACGATGCCTTGGTAATATCCCTCCAGATTGGAGAGTGCCAAGTGAAGCGCATCTTAATCGACCAGGGCAGCTCTTGGTCCTGCTTGGTATAGCTGTTAAAACAGATTATAAATTATAACTTAACAGATTATAGATTATGGCTTTAATCAGAAGCTGTTAATCTGTTTGGTATAGCTGTTGGATTATAGATTTAAGTTGCTGAGTAGTGTTTGTTAAATAAGCTATGAAATAGCTTTTTCAATTAATTTTTACTTTTTATTATTCACTATTTGTCTACATTTCTCATAAAAAATAATAATAATATTTTATAGTCCATTTGGGTCTTTTTCTATTTTAAAAAAAATAAAAAAAATTTAAGAGTATAACCGTAAATTAACATGTTAACAGCAGAAGCTGGTAATCAGAAGCAATGGGTGAACAGCTTCTCAGAATCAACTTTTTTGACTTAAAATAAGTTGTTAGAATCAGAAGTTGTTTGAAATAAGTTTAACCAAACAGTCCAAAATAACTTTTTAAAAGCCAGAATCCATAAGTTGGCTCAAAAAAGCCCTACCAAACACCTCCCTTGTGACATCATGTATGTCAGATGTTACAAGGAGCTTGGCCTTCATCAAGACGATCTAGAGCAATCCAATGGTCCTATGGTCGGGTTCAATGGAACGCCGACATGGCCCTTGGGAGTAGTAAGTTTGGAGGTGCAGGCTGGCACCAAGAAAATTAAAACTGAGTTCACTGTAATTGACACTCCCTCACCTTACAATACTATCCTGAGAAGGCCATGGCTGCATACAATGGGGGCTGTTCCTTCGACATTGCACCAGTTATTGCGGTTCCCAACAGAGCATGGAATTGAGGAGGTTAGAGGGGATCAAGTGCAGGCACAAAATTGCTCTATGGCAGCAATAAAGTCTACCTGCAACATACGAGAAGCAGAAACAGCAGAGATCGAGGACAAGGACATGAAAGTCCTGGAGGACGTCGGCAAAGAGCTAGCCAAGAAAAGTGAAGAAGCCCTGAAGAAAATCCTTGTCCAACAAGGAGATGAAGAACGCTTCTTTCTTCTCGGCTCGGGCTTGGCTGAGGAAGAGGAAAAAGAGTTGGAGACGTTCTTGAGGGCAAACATTGAGGTGTTTGCCTGGACACCATACGAGATACCTGGCATTGACCTCGAGTTCACTTGCCATAAACTGAATGTGGACAGGTCGGCCAAACTTGTCATCCAGCAAGCAAGGAGGCCGACATTAACGCATATTGAGGCAGTAGAAGAGAAAGTAGATAGATTTCTGGAGGCCAGAGCCATTCGATAGGTAAATTACTCGACATGGTTATCAAATACAGTAGTGGTGAAGAAAAAGAATAGGAAGTAGAGAGTCTGTGTAGACTTCACCAGCCTGAACAAGGCTTGTCCCAAAGACAGCTTCCCATTACCCAAAATTGACCAATTGGTAGATGCCACTTCAGGCCATGGAAGGATGAGCTTTCTGAATGCCTACAAGAGGTACCATCAGATAGCCATGTACCCCCCAGATGAGGAGAAGACTGCATTTATCACCCTAAAAGGGTTGTACTGCTACAGAGTGATGCCTTTTGGATTGAAAAACGCAGGAGCAACTTACCAGAGATTGGTGACAAAGATGTTTAGACATCTAATTGGAAAAACTGTGGAGATATACATAGATGACATGGTCATGAAGACCAAGGAACCTGAGGGTCGTGTGGAAGACTTAATAGCAGTCTTTGATATCTTTAGAACATATCGGCTCCGACTCAATGCATCGAAGTGTGCATTTGGAGTTGGGTCTGGTAAGTTCTTAGGATATTTGGTTACCAGAAGGGGTATTGAGGCTAGCTCGGATCAGATTAAGGCCATCCTAGAATTAAAGAGCCTAACATTGGCAAAGCAAGTGCAGATGTTGACTGGAAGGGCAGCAGCCCTAAGCAAATTTATAAGCAGAAGCTCTGACAGTGTAAACCTTTCTTCAGCTTAGTAAAGAAAACCGCAAACTTCTTATGGACAAAAGAGTGCGAAGTCGCCCTTGCCGACTTGAAGAAGTATCTGACCACAGCTCCAGTTCTCTTAAATCCAGTACCTAGAGAGGAGCTGTTCTTATACTTGGCAGTTTCAGAGCATGCAATAAGTGCAGTAGTAGTCAGGGAAGAAAAAGAAGAGCAAAGGGCAGTTTACTACATAAGTAAAACCCTGGCAGATGCAGAGACCAGATACCTACCCTTGGAGAAATTAACACTGGCTTTAGTGATGGCTTCCAAAAAGCTGAATCATTACTTTCAAGCCTATAAGATTGTGGTATTAACTGAGCACCCTTTGAAGTCCCTGTTGCAGCAGGGAGATCTGACAAGCAGAATAGCCAGATAGGTAGTGGCCTTGGGCCAATATGACTTGGAATTCAGACCCAGAACAGCAATCAAATGCCAAGTCTTAGCCGACTTCGTGGCCGAGTTCACACCAGACGTCGTCATATATCGGGCTCCGTTGAGCCGAGGTTCAAGTGAGCAAGGAAAAACCCAGCTGGGGATAGCAGAGCAAAGGAAGGAAGAGAAACTCAGACCCTGCAACATTTACATCGGCGACTCTTTCTGGCTGTTTGTCGCTGGGAGTTCAAACCGACAAGGAACGGGGGCACGAGTAGTACTAGTATTTCCAGATGGGCAGACACTGGAACAATCCATTCGTTTGGGGTTTAAGGCCTCAAACAATGAAGCAGAGTATGAAGCACTAATCGCGGGATTAAAGCTAGCAGCAACAATGGAAACTGACGAGGTAATAGTCTTCTATGACTCCCAACTTATCGTCAACCAAGCAACAGGCGAATACGCAGCCCAAGATGAAAGGATGTCGGCTTATGTGAAGGAAGTGGGCAGACTGGTAGCCTTATTCTAGAATTGCCGTCTACAGCAAGTTAGTCGAGATGACAACAGTCATGCCGATGCCTTGGCCAACCTGGCTAGTGTAATAAAACTAGGAGAGGCAAGAATAATAATGGTTGACTACTTGCCAGGACCAAGTATAGAACCACCGAACACAGAGCATGAAGCAATGTGTGTGGAAATAGGACCAAGATGGATGGATGCAATAATAGTATTCCTTAAATAAGGAAAATTGCTAGATGATCATAAAGAGGCGCACAAGAACAGACTGAAGTCGGCAAGGTTCTGCTTGACAGCAAAAGGACATCTCTACAGAAAATCTTTTACCGGACCCCTTTTGAGGTGTGTGCACCCTGCACAAGTTGAAGACTTTCTGTATAAGATACATGAAGGAGTATATAGAAGCCACGCTGGAGGCAGATCACTTGCTCATAGGGCCATTACTCAAGGGCACTGGTGGCCCTACATGCAGAAAGATGTTGAAGCTTATGTTAAGAAGTGTGAGAAGTGCCAGAGGTTTGCACCTTTGATATATCAACCAGTAGTAGACTTGAACCCGGTATCCAGCCCTTGGCCATTTGCCCAATGGGGCATGGATCTTGTTGGACAATTGCCTCAAGCAACTGGACAAAGGAAGTACATGCTGGTGCCAACAGGTTACTTCACAAAGTGGATAGAAGCTGAACCCCTTGCAAAAATTCGGGACATGGATGTAAAGAACTTTATATGGAAGAACATCATTACCAGTACAAGATCAAGAATTACTATTCCACTCCAAGTTTTTCTCAAAGCAATGGACAAGCAGAAGCATCTAACAAAGTTATCTTGGATGAGATTAAGAAGAGGTTACAAGTAGCAAAAGGAAAGTGGGTGGATAAGTTGCCTAGTGTACTCTGGGCATATCGGACTACGCCGAGAAGATCAACTAGGGAATCCCCATTTGCCATGGCTTATGGCGCAGAGGCAGTAATTCCACTGGAGGTTGGCATCCCAGGAATCAGAACCCAAGGAGTAGAAAATGGGACC